TCAACTTTTTTTTTTTTTTTTGTAAATTACCGAGTCTCGGAAATCAAATTGCCCACCCTCATTGCTTTCCTCCTGAGTCCCTAGTACAGTTTCACAATTTTTTTCGATTGGTATATTCAGTGCGCGTCTACGTCACTTGGCGAGGACTTGAAAGTTAGCTTGCCTATACGGAACGCCTGAACTCATAAGTCATCGAAACATTCGTTCAAACTTAATCATCAGTGAGCGTATCATAATGTTTGCACTATTAAAAGTGTAGCAATTGAAATCAATTTTACTAATTTGTATAAATGTAAATTAAATTTATAAAATAATTTCTTTATGTAACTCAGACAAATTGTATTATTCCTTGAATAACACATATTGTTATATAAAAATAACGTTATTCCGGATTATTTTAGTAATAAAAATAAAGTTATCAAGTTACTATTTAGAGTTAAGAAAAGTTAAATTGCCAAAATTAAAATCTTTTTACTCGAATTATAGAAAATACATATTTTTTATTATAAAATACTAACGGTCCATACCAACATAAAATTTCAATATCTCAAATACAATTATAAAAATGTAATATGTAACAATAAAAAAAAATCTATTTGAAAAAATTGGAAATTTTACAAACTTTTACAACAATTAATATAATTTTAATTTTAATTTTTCTGGCTAAAAGTTTTAATGGCCAATGTATTTTTCGTTTTACATTATGCAAAAGCGATTGTCTATTCCAATTTATTTGTTTTAATATAAATTTTTCTTCTTGTTTCATGACTACAAATTTATATTGTTTAAGTTAATGTTTTTTAACAGTCACGGGCGATTTAGGTGTGACACGGAAATTTTCTTAAGCCCGAAAACCCCACAAAAGTTGCTCAAAACCTCTTTAATATTTGATTTTTTGTAGTCAGATATTTAATTTATATCTCTGCACGAAAAGTTAAACATGAAAAACAAAACCAAAAAGACTATAAGCCATCTAAAAACTGGACATAGAAAATCAAATTCCATTCTCGTCAACATACGTTCTAATCCTCATTATATTGGCAAACGTCCAAGTAAACGTAAAATTATAAAATTTTATAAAGATCTTTTAACATTTTATGAAGACGAGGATACAACGATTCAAAAGCCTGAAACTTCTAAGACGATTCAATCAAAAAAGACACTTAATGTTGGCCATGTTAAGAAAATTACTAAAAAACAAACAACTGTCAATAAAAGACAAGTAAAAAATTCTGATGCGTTAATTTTGAAACGTAAAAATCAAACTCGCAATAAATCAAACGCTAAGATATCTACTAAAAACAAATTAAATTCAATTAATGTGGAAATACCATCCGAAGCTGTCAAACATATGAGTAAGATTAATTTATTTTATATTAATATATTTTAATATACAATTTATATATTTTACATAAAATATTTATAATTTTTGAATCAATAGATCCGATTGTATTGATCGAAAGAATTCCACAAGACATTATAGACTATTATATGTCTAGTAAAAAAACTAATGCAGACGAAATAGTAAATAATTCTGGTGAACAAGAAAATGTAAGAATTAACAATTCTGAAACCCACAAGATGTATCGAAAAAAGAATAGAACTCCTGTCATCGACATCAACATACGTTTAAATCCTCATTATGTTGGCAAACGTCCAAGTAAACGTAAAATTATAAAATTTTATAAAGATCTTTTAACATTTGATGAAGACGAGGATTCAAAGATTCAAAAGCCTGAAACTTCCAAGACGTTTCAATCAGAGAAGAGACCTCATCTCGACGATGTTAACGATTCACGTAAAAAACTTAGACTAACAAATAAATATGAAGACAAAGTAAATAACTCTTATACTCTTAATTCAAATCGTAAGAATAAAACTCCTGACGTGTCAAACGTCGAGATATCTATTGAAAGCAAATCAAATCCAATTAATGTGGAAATACCATCCCACAAAGTCAATCATATGAGCAAGTGTCATTTTTTTTATAATAATATACACATGTGCATAGGATGAGTGGGTAAAGTATGTCAGCTGCCCCCCACTCTTGATATTTTGTGTCTTGCTAATATTGCGATTTAAAACACTATACGGCCCCAATATGTATTGAAAATTTAGACTGGGGAAAAAGCCTAGTTGTCTCCACCCAAATGACGCCTTTGTTTTTCTTATAAAAAAAATCAAATTCCATTGTTAGAATATATATAATAGTTTGATAGTGACAGCTAATCAATCATTCATTTTATACTATTATTAAAAATATATAAATAATATATTTTTAAATTTTGTATTAGTGTATTTTAGAGTATATTTTGTTTTAATGTTTCAAGTAATAAATTAATGAAGTATATTTCATAGAGCTTTAGTTTTTAATAATTAAATTTAGTCTAATTAAGTCACTTAATTATACATATAACACTTAAACCANTGGTTTTGAGGGTAGAGACCCGTGGGCCGTTTATTAAATGAGCGACAACAGATTATGTTAACAAAAATAAAACAAACCGAAAAGATAAACACAGTAATAATAATCTTCGCATAATATCGCGGCACTTTCGCTGGCGTCGACGACGCGATGTTCGGCGTAATCCTTGGACGGCAAAATGGTTAGCAGCGTTGTAGGCGACGGTGCGCGGGTGCGGTTCGGCTGTCGACGTTGTCGCTTTCACAGCGGGAGGAAGACTCTCGCACCATTTGCGGCGGGTCGTCGTCGGCCGTGCGGCATTTGCTGGACTTTGCACCGTAGCGTATAACACGCGGTGTTGGTCAGTCAAATACTCATAGTAGGGCGACGGCTGATAAAGGTGGCACGAGTCGCGGGGCATCGTGTATAACGAAGCGACGCGGGCCGTGTCAAACCATAAAATAATCTAACATTTAACTAACATTTTGGAGGGTGCTAATTGAATTTTCTTCTTACCCCAAACAATTATACAGGATGTCCAACTAGGTTAGACATATTTTATTATTCTTGATCAAATAATAATTACGTTGAAATAATAACTTAATATGTGTACTTGTCCTAAAATTATCATCGACCCACAAATTTTTTTGTAAGATAATGCTGAAAAATGGCTATTTTAAAATTTTGAAGAAAATGAAATTTCAACAAAATTATTGTTGTATTATAAGTTATAAGTCATATCAAAACATACGTAAATTAAAAAAATGTTGGGGGTAATTTTGTCAATTGAGGGGCTTAGCACCTTCTTGTTTCCTAGTTGCGTTTATGACAAGAANCCTTCTTGTTTCCTAGTTGCGTTTATGACAAGAAACCCTAAAGGAGTTCCTCGGAAACTCTTCTACACTAAGTCTATTAAGCGAATAGCAAAACCGCGTTACTTTAAACATATTTTTCATTTTTGTTTTGAAAATAACATACGAATTCTTATGAAATTATCATAGTAATGTTTATTTTTATATATTCTTTTTTAAAGTTCCAATGGTGTTTATAAAAAAAATATTTCGTCATTTTATAATAATATAATTACTTTTTAATATAAAAATGATTTATTTTGTATAAAATTGTTATCAAAAAATTAATTTATAATTTTGGTATTTATAGATCCTTTTGTGTTGCTCAAAAGAATTCCGCAAGAAATTATAGACTCCCATGTGTTTAATAAAACAATTAATACAATCGAACTAGAAAAATTAGTAAATAACATAGAACTATCTAACAATGTTGATGGCATAAATAATTTTGATACACCAACTGATAATCCTACAAAAAATAAAAAGTTATNCAAACTGATAATCCTACAAAAAGTAAAAAGTTATCTACGAATAGCTCTACAAAGAAAGTTTCTAAGAAAAAACGATCAAAAAGATCTAGATTCAATTGATGAACTCATCTAAACATTTAATTTTGATAAATCATGATCAAGCAATTTACCTTATAACTCTTACATTTTTTGCCGCAGAGACTATAGATTTAATTTAATCAAATTTTTATTAGACTATACTCTGTGGATGACTTGTAATTGAAAAGTCAACAGTGTTGTATTATAAACAACTTTCAAGTTGGTAATAATTTTTGTGAACTGTCGTTCAAGAATTTTCAATTTAATGAATAGTTTCGTTTCTATCATTCATTTTGTACGTTATTTTTTCTATTATATTTTTTATGTTGTTCTAATCATAAAATTTTTTTTTTGAAATTTTTTTTATTTAAGATCTAATGAATATCTTTGTCATTAATTGTTTAATGATTACACGATGCATATATTTTTTTTATTTAAAGATTTTTTGTGCTATAAATATTTTTAATTGTTCTTTTACAATTATGTAATTCAATTAAATTTTTTAATATATTTTTGTACTTATTTGAAATTTGTAATTATTTAAATAAATAGCGATAAGATAACATTTTGCTAAAATATATTTAATAAGAACAAATGTTTTTATTTTTATATTATACAAATAATATTTTGTTTATTATATTATACTACATCATAATTAATGTAGAAAAGAAATCTAAAAAGTAATAAAAAATTAAATATATATATATAGATATATTATTTAATTTAAAGATCTTTATTATAAAGTAATAATCAATAATTAATGAAATTTGGTAACAAAATGAAAAAAATGGGCGTATTTATTTTTGCGATTATATCCTAAAGTATTAACGATAGGAAAATAAATCTTATGATAAAATATTTTTTTAATAAAATTTTTAATAGTATTTGTCTTTAGTACTTTTTCCATAAAACGGCTCATTCGATTACAAAATAACAAAAATTCATTTCTAGAGTTTTTTATTATAGTATCATACGTTTATATTGACAACTAATAGATTATTTTTGTTTGTTGATTTCTACAAGGTATAAATATTATCGAAACAGTATGGTCAGATTGGATATTACCTACTTAAAAATACCTATTATTATTGACTGTGTTGATTACATGCGATATCATAAACTACAACATTTTACTTCATTCTTTACATCAATAATAAACGTTAACGTTTAACATTGAGGTTTCTTCGAGATAATCTGTAGTCGTGTATTTTATGATTTTTTAAACTCAATTATTACTTTTTTATTTAATGGAGACTAAAAGAAATTTACGAAAAAGTATTTATTTAATTGGTTAAATTATTTACTTATTGGCGTTGATGTAACTTACCAAAAAAAAGAATTTAAGCAATTTAAAAAATTAAAAGAATTTGAGAAAAAATGAAAGCTTAATGATGATGAATTCAAATTAACTAGTAAGTATTTTGAGTTATAAATAAACAATGAATAGTATAGTATTGTTCAGTCATAAGCATTTTTTATTTAAATTTTAGCTAAAACTGTGGAATTCTGTTCTACAAGCGACGACACAGAAGAAAGTTTGCCTGATGATTGTGAGTTAGATTAAAATATTACGATCTAAAAATTATCTACAACGATTTATAACATCATTATATTCATTACTTTATATTGTTTTATAGTTGTAAACAATGATGACTTCAGTAATTTGTTTGATGGCAATGTAAAAAAAACTCAAGATCAAATATTAAATTTAGAAGATATTAATTTTTCACCGGGTCCGTCTAATAAAACTAATGTTTTGCCAGTATCAAGCTCCATATAACAAAGAGGTACAATAGACATGATGACTGTAAAGTTATCTTCAGCATTAGATAGGTGCAAAATAAGCGACCGAGACGCAGTGCACATTATAATTGCAGTGACTGAATCATTAGGGCATGATGTCAATGATATCATAGTTAATAGTTCATCAATTAAACGACATTGTGAAAAAATACGTTGGAATTTAGCTACAGAAATTCGCGACAAATTTTCTGTGACTAACCTCAATGCCTTAGTTTTACATTGGGACGGCAAATTATTACCTAATTTATGTAGTAAACAAACAGTTGATTGACTACCTATAATTACTTCAAATAATGGAAATGACCAACTATTAGCAGTACCAAAGATGTTAAACGGAACTTCTAAATCACAGGCTGAGGCTATATATCAAACGTTGGTCGATTGGGGTTTAACAAACCACGTAAGATATACATGGTTACTGGTAATCGATTTGAAATCTATTTTCATATTTATTGTTAACCGCTTATCACTTAATAATCGGTTTTAATTTTTAAAGGTAACCGTTAATCGTTTAAAACCGATTTTTAACCGTTTAAATACTTTTTTTTAATGATGGAATACGATAAGCTTGGGTGTTTTTACAGAAAGAACGATTAGGCTGTGTCGTAGCCAGTGTGCCAAGAGGAACGGGTTCCTTACATTGACGTCAATATTTATTCCTAAAATTAAGTGATGAGCAAAATACTAATAATAAAAAATATACATAGAATTGAAATTTCAAATAGTATTAAAAAAAGTATTCAAATTTTACTGTATTGAAGATAATAAGGAATAAAAACATTTAACAAAACTCATTTACTTTTATTTATTATAAACAGATTTTTTATTTACAAGCTTTCTGAAATATTTTTTGGTTGCCTCTAATAATCATAATTTCATCAAGCAATGATGATGAAATTGATGTCCTTAAATCATTACACACATACTTCGAACCAGAAAAAGTTCTTTCTACTGTAACCTGTAAAAATAAAATAACACTCAAGTATTACCCATGTTATATTTATAATATTTTAAATAGTGAAACATATAACACAATGACTTTCAAATAAAATGATTATTGTCTTTACAGATAACTAATGAAACTAAAATAAGTACATAAATAAGAATTAAAGTATAAATATTTCAGCTCTACCTTCCTAATGAATAATTTCTTGACCTCAACCAATAATTTTAATGAGTATAATAAGTTTAATAAGTATTACCTGTGTGCATGGAACAGCCATTGCAACTTGCGCTAACTTAAATAATTCTGGCTTCTTTGCATTTAACCAAAATTGTTTAATATCAGTTTTATGATGTAATCTACAACTATTATCAAATTCTACAATTAAAACTCTAATAGAACATTTGTCGCTTCCAGGTAGAGGTGTTAAATTAGTTGTAGTTCCACTTTGTGATTTTAAAAACTGTTCAAGTGGATCATCAACATTTTCAAAATTGTTTGTTTCTATGTCAGATATATTGTTTTCATTCATTTCTGAATCTTGTGAAGTCAGGTTTTCCATAGTATTCCAAGTTTTTATTAAATGAGATTTTGCTTCAATTTTATTATCTTCTGATAAAGTACTTTGAAATCTAGGATCTAAATAGTTTGCTGTAAAAAAATTAAATAAATTTTTTTTTATACATAAGCAATAATAATACAAAATATGTAAACAAACCAGCCAAAAAAAATTGGATTTTCTAGTAAATTTTTTCCTCTTATCTTCATAGAATTTTTTATAGCAATACTCAAACTAGTATTAATAATTTCTAATTTAGCCATAATGTTCCACCAACAAGCAAAAAAGTCTCCCATAATTATATCCCTTCTTTGCAACATGACAATTCCAATTTTAGAAGGCTCAAGAGATATAACCTATAACAACAGAGGTATATATTTTTAAAAAATTAACAATTACAAGAATATACAAAGTGTTAAAAATTTTATTTAAAAATGAACAAACCATAGAAGCTATTTTATCCCAATCTTCTCTAGATACTTTTAAATCTGGCATTGTTTCTTCGTACTCTTGACAAAAACTTTTCAATTTTAAAAGTCTTTCAAGCATATCATATGTAGATGACCATCTTGTGTCAACATCAATTATTGCCAGTTTCAAGTTATTTCGTTTTAATAATCCAGCATTAGTTGGGGTCCTTAATTTTTTTACTACCTATAAAATACAAACAAAATATACAGTAAATAAATATTAGCAGTAAAATATTTCAACACTTATTTGAATCATTTGTAATTATTTGAAAAACATTTTATAGATTAAATTGTGAGGTATAATATTTTAAAATAAAATACTATTAGATATTAATAGATTTTGTAATTACATGTCTTGCACGACTTAAAACTTGTTGAATAACTGGAATTTTAAGCCCATCTTCAATGCAAAGGTTTAATGTGTGAGCTGCACACCTAACTAATAAAGTTGTTTCTTCATCTTCAAAATTACTGGGTTCATTTTCTACAATTAGATCTTCAATGTTTTCTATGTATATATAAAATAAAAAATGATTCAATAAATTTAACTATTGATAATGTTTTTTTTTTTTTTTAATAAAATTTTATTTATTAATAAAAATGTTGACTTTGAACTTAACTATGTATACAAATTTTCCAGATCATGCTATACAAAAATTAATTACCATTGTCAACGTTTTCCTCGTGCTCAGCTATTAAATCAGTCAATTTAATCATATTTCGAGCATTGTCAATTGTTATAGAATATATTTGGTTTTTATTTAATCCATATTTATTGAGGACATCAAATACCTATGATCGTATAAAATCTTTTTTTAGAAAATATATATCATTTATATTAATGGTCAATACCATTAACTTAAGATTTTCTGCTGTATGACCACCTAATACTTCAGAAATACTTAATGTTTTTATTTGCAACTGCATTGAATCACAAGACATGTATTGAACATTAATGCATAGAAAAGATCGGCTATGCTGTGAAACACCATCAATTTTTAATGATACCATACGGTTTTTCAAATCTTTAGTAATATCTCCCTCTATATCCTATTTTTCAGACACTATATTATTACTTAAGTGTGTAATATGTCCTTTAATATTTTGAGAATTAATGACAATCTCTAGTAAACAAATAAAATAAAGTAAATGTATTTCAACTTTTTTGGTTTTTATTATCAGTTTTATTTCAGTATAATACTGATTATTATTAATATTCAATGATACTTATAAAATAATAAATTAGTATTTCACATATTTTCACTCAATAATCTATTTATAAATTCAATAAATGGATAACAGATATATAATTTTGAAGTTAAAATATTTTTTTATCAAATAAATATAAGTATTATCAAATACTCATACTTTCCGGTAAAAATGCATCTAAGACAGGATCCAAAATTTTCCTAAAACCTGAATCTTGTAATAAAGTCAAAGGTCTACCATTTCAATACAAGCAGCAATTAGTGAATTTTTATCTAAGTTAAGTTTGATGGATTTTTTAGAAATGCTTACGAAATTATTCAATGTGCTCTGACTGTTATTTATCTTAAAAGAAAGACATATAAACTACATAATAAAAATTTCAAATAAACAAAAAATGTAATTGTAATATTGGATACACAATATTGTGTATCCAATATTACAATTACATTTTAACCATCATATCTTACTTTATTTGTTAGTGATGTTTCTGCATCTAAGTTTTCTATTGTTTGTTTTAGTTTATTTTTGGCTTTAATTAGATCTGCATATTGCAATTTGTGATGCGCAAATACATGTTTCTCTAAGTTAGATGAATGCTTACCCGTAATAAATTTTTTACATAAATTGCACTCGCTTCTATTACTAGCGTTATCGTGTTTAAAAAACATTTTTAATACTGGATTCTTCATTTTAAATAAATATTTAAATTATTTAATTAAAAAAAAACTTTGGTATAATATTCACTGCACATTTAAAAATAAAGACGACACAGCTATTTAATGCACATGAAATATTTTTGCTTCCATGAAAATCACATGTGTACTCATTACATTAATGTATATTTGGAGATACGTATTATAACCCATAACCGTGGTTGAAGTACACACTAAAGTAGTTTAAAATGATATTAATTATCTCAAATTATTATATATATATTGCTATATAAATTTTGCAAGGTGAAATCTCTGATATATTGCCATTCAAACATTCATCCTATTATCGGTATTTCACAAAAACAGTTTTATTTTTGTATAGGAATTAAGCCATTTTTGTTACAAAACCGGTTTTAAATAACGATTCCCGATTCTAGGTTAACATCTATAAAATTAAATCGGTAATCANCAACAAGTACTATCTTGCTTGGCGCGGCTACTAGGTCACTGTCCAGTGTACCCCCTGGGCAGTGGGTAATTACTAGGCCCTCTGGTTTGGCTGAAACCTTACACCATAAAAGTTAATGTCATGTCAGTGGATGACCAAAGAATTAGTTCTTTAAAAAATGTGTCAGACATTTTCAAAACTAATTCTTCTAATACTAAATTAGATAACAAACTAGAATACAAGAACCTAGCTATAATTAATAATTCTAAAGCATTCTGCTCAGAAAATGTAGGTTCATTGATATCACCAATAACGAATAAAGTAATTATAGTTCATGATAGTAATATTCCAACTCTTAAATCGAGTGATTTTACTCCAAACAATAAAGAAATGAACCAGCAAAGTACTGCAATAAAACACGTGCGTGAAGTGAGCAATTTCTAGCCAGCAAATTCTTATCAATTTAAAGATGCGGTAACGACATAGTTACCAAATATTAGTTACTATATTCCACTACTAGGAGCGGTGAATATAAAGTGAAATTATTAAACGAAAATTCTTATAACTAAATAAAGATCAAAATCATGGATTATATAAAAATTTTCATTTTAAATTAACACCACTAGAGAGCATTTCAAAAAAAGACATACAATACTAAACAAAGAATACACAATATATAGTGGGTTACAATACACAATTTAAATATAATAAAAATATACATTAATATTATACAGCAATAATATATATAAAAAAAAAATATTATACAC